GTATTTAAAAATAATACGCTAAACTGTTATAAATTTTTTTCTTTTATTATTAAGAAAATGATCTAATGGATATCATCATGTCAGTATTGTTAAGTGTCACTGACTCGGTTCTGACTCATAGCGACCCTGCATAGGGTTTCCAAAGAGCGGTTGGTGAGCTTGAACTGCTGACCTTGTGGTTCAAACTGATTTTGCAGTCTAGCACATTAACCCACAGTGCCACATAAGGATATCATCATAGTTATATTACAAATTAGAGGCAAGGGGAGTTACATTTTCGGAATGCCTGTGATGTCTCAGGAGTCCTGATATGGTGCTGTGGGTTAATGTGCTGGACTACAAAGTTGGTTTGAACTGCAAGGTCAGCGGTTCAAGCTCACCAGCTGCTCCTCGGAAACCCTTTACCGGGTCGTTATGAGTCAGAACTGAGTCAACAGCACTTAACAACAACAACAACATGATGTCTCAATCCTAACCTCATAAGAAGATGTAGGTTTATAAGTGGCAGAACTGGGATTTGGATTCACATCTGAATGACTCCCAAACCTGTACCCCTTATGTTAAATCATACTGTTGTTGCTGTTAAGTGCCATTAAGTCTGTTCCTACTCATAGTGACACAGTATAGGGTTTCCGAGGACCAGCTGGTGAGTTTGAACTGCTGACCTTGTAGTTCAAACTGCCCTTGTAGTCTTGCACTTATAGCGCCACACCAGAAGTCCTAGATCATATACTAATGGTGAATATCACAGATATTTTATCAACATTAATAGCTGTTACTAAAAAAAAAAAAATATTTTTTTTTTCTAGAAAGTTCCAAAGCCAAATTTAAAAATGTTAATGACGGCTTCTCAGCAATCCAGGAAAAATCGTAAGCTATTTGAAGAATTCCCATTTTTGGCTTTTTCACTAATTGAAAATTATAGCTATTTTCATATACTCTTTTCTTTGCTTTTACTTTATTAGAAAATGCTAGCATTGTGAGTCCAGAAAATAGAACCTTATTTGAGGATAATAATTATGATACTCAAGATGGAGACGTGGTTGAAAGTCTTTCTAAGCCATCATTCAGAATCCAGGACTTTTCTCATCCTGCTTATCCATCACCTGCCCCTCCTTTAAAACCTTCCTTGAATTTTTCAGCATTCCCTGATGTCACAAAGGTAAGTGTTGTTTTGCTTTACCTTTTTTCCTATGCTTTTCTACATGCTGTTTCCCCATCCTCATAATTGTATATCATCTTAAAGATGATGAAGACTTTAGATAGAAACGGAAGGCTTGAAGATCCAAATAGAAAACTGTTGTAATAACTAGTAGAGTTCTATTTACAGAATTGAGATTTATATAAAAGTTGGTGGGCCTAAACAATTCTTAGGTATGCCATTATGGAAGGAAAGAATTAGAAAGCAGCTCCCAAACCCCTCAAAACCAGCTAGATGAACATGTAGCTGAGGAGGAGGTGATGAGGTAAAGGGGAAAACTGATTTAAGAAGAGCAAGATGAATATAAAAGCTGAATGAGAGAACCAAGCTGAGAGAAATTAAAACCACAAATGAAAAAAAAAATTGAATGAAAACAGCAGTTCTTTGTATTGTAAAGTATGATAGAAATTCTTTCAAATGAAAATTAAGTTAAGAAAATCAGGTAATGAAAAAATACTCTTCTGAAAGTCTTAACAGTTGATTTTTGTCAAGCGCTGTAAGGAAATTTAATTCTTTTAAGTTTGGTAATTATTATTTTCAATTTAGTAAAACTTGTATTCATAGTTAATGCAAAATGAAATCTATTTTAGGACTTAAAAGATTTATTATGAATTGTGTATTCTTGGCCTTTCTGTTTTTTATTTTTTCTAACTTAACTGTCTTATTGATTGCTATATTCTGGTAGGTGTTTTAGAGTATTTTGAGAAAAAAGAGAAATAAGCAAATAAATGTTTTATTCAGTGGGCTTATTTCCTTCAAAAATAAAATTTAATTTTAATCATATACATTTGTATCAATTACATGAGAATTGGTGTTTTTGAATTAAATTTTTTCATTAAACTTAAAATGTATTTTATCACAATTTCTAAGAAATGGATATTTGTATAAATTCATAAAATAATTTTATATCCTTGAACAAGATGTTGAAAAATCTAATTAAAAAATTACTTCCCATTTTTTCCCCCTGCTCTTGTTTTAATATTAAAAATTTCAGAGTTCTGTTTAGCTTTGGAGGAGTCCTTGGTTCCAGCTCACCAGCCACTCATAGGAAACCCTATACAGGGTCACTATGGGTCAGAACTGGTTCGATGGTACTTAAACAACAACATTTAGCTTTGGGAGGCCTGGTGTGGCACTGTGGGATAAGCACTGGACTGCTAACTGCAATGTTGGTGGCTCCAACCCACCAGGCACTCCTTGGAAACCCTATATAGGGTCGCTATGAGTCGGAATTGACTTGACAGCCCTTAACAGCAGTAGCCTCTATTAAGGAGGCCTAGTGGCGCAGTGGGCTAGCATTGGGTTGCTAAATGAAAGGTCAGAGGTTTGAACCCATCAGTCACTTCATGAGAGAAGGATGTCTACTTCTGTGAACATTGAAAGCCTCAAAGACCTTCTGGAACATTTCTACTCTGCCCTACAGGTTTGCTATGAGTTACAATGGATGGCAATGAGTTTTGGTGCCCCTAATGCGATGTGGGAAGGAGCTCTGGTAGCATAGTGGTTACAAATCGGGCTGCGAACCGCAAGGTCAGCAGTTTGAAACTACCAGCTGCTCCGCGGGAGAAAGATGAGACTTTTTGCTCCTGTAAAGTTTTACAGTCTCGGAAACCCTGTACAGGGTCTCTGTGTCAGAACCGACTTGACGGCACTCAACAACAACAATGGGATCTGGGAGTCCTGTTGTTGCGCTGTAGGATAAGCACTGGACTGCTAACTGCAAGGTTGGTGGTTCACACCACTAGCTGCTCCTCAGAAGCCCCTTACAGGGTTGCTATGAGTCAGAACCACCTTGATGATGCTTTAACAACAACAATAGTGGGATATGAGTTGTAATGGACTCCATGGCAGTGGGTTTGGCTTTGGTTTTGGGGCTAGGATTTAGGACAAAAACTTTATTATTTATGTTTCACTGTTTGTTCTTGCTGACTGATTGAATGATAGAGTAGGTGCATGAATATGTTTTCTAATGTTGGCTTTTGTTTGTTTTCAATTATAGGAAGGAGCAACAAAGCCAGCAATTGCAAAAAGAGATAACGACATTGATGTTATTCAAAGTGCTCAAATAGAGCAAACAAATAATGACAATTTGACTTATGTTGATGGAACACACAAAAATAATAGAATCCGTAAGTTAGTGAATATCTGAAAATTTTTCTGTGCTTAAAGTGCTTCTAAAAAGAATTTAAGTGAAAATATATCCATCCAAATATATTTCATTTAAATAATTTTCTTTAACTTTTTTTATGTGTATCTTGGCTATTACCAATAATTTTTTCTAAAAACTGCTTCAGCTCAAATGATTTTTTGTCACTTTTACTTTATTGAAAAATTCATGAATGGAGATAGACTTGTAATAAATGGTATTATTAATGCATCTATAACTACATTTTATAGATATGATGTCAGCATTAGGATTAGGAGAAGAGGAAGATACAGAATCACCTTGGGATTCAGAGGTACTGTCTATTATTTTATTAAAAACGTGTAAGACTAGATGCTTTGACTTTGCTTTCTCAGATCTGCATATGCCCTTAAGGAGTTATTTCCTTATTTTGTCAACTTGTGACTTACTGTTGTTGTTGGAGGGTTTCGACTAATAGTGACCCTGTATAGAATTTCTGAGGCACAGCTGGTAAGTTTGAACTGCCGACCTTGCGATTCACACCAACCTTGCAGTCCAGTGCTTTATCCCACAGCACCACTCCAGGACTGCTAAGTACAATACTGTTGCCAAGTACAGTTCTAATTTTCAGGATTCACTTAACGAAGCCAGACTATTGTGCAAAAAACTGTGGTTTGGAAGCTATCTTGAACCACTGTGGGCTCTGGAAGTAAGTTTATCTAAAGATCAGAGAATTATTTCACATCAGTCTATGACCACATGCATTGTTTTATGGGTAAAAGAGTGAGTGAGATTCAGAGAGAAACAGTTTGTACTATAGTTTTTTTTTTTTCAATTACTTAGAACTTGCAAAGGTAATATCTGGGGCTTGAAAGTATTCAAGTAGATGTGCTAGGAATATTTTAGGGAAAGGAAAAGCCTAAGAATATTAATATGTTTGATTACAGTTAAAAAAAAATTGGTTAGTTGTGTTTTAATAACTTTTGGATAGTTGTTTAGAATGCATTGAGAGCCTATTGAGCATGCTTGTAATAATGTAAGTATAAAGTAATGATGACCTATATACTAAGGTAACTACTATGGAAGGAGATATCTCTTAGATATTAGATGCTGCATAGTGAGTGGTACAAGCATTATATTTGAAGTCCAAAGACATGTTACCATCTTGGTTTATCACTTACTAGCTATGGGATTTTAGAAAAAAATATAATTTAACCTGTTCAAATGTCAGTTAACTGATTTATAAACTTGGTACTAATTGTGGTAACAAATGTGAAGATATTTTGTGAACCATGCGGCTACTTCATACTCTTAAGCACTAGATGATTCATAGTTTGAGTCCACTAGCTGCTCTGTGGGAGAAAGATGAGACTTTGTGGTTCCGCAAAGATTTAAAGCCTTAGAAACCCTACACAGGGTCGCTATGAGTTGGAACTGACTCGATGGTACTTAACAACAACAACAACAACATTTAAATATAACCTGAAGAAAAGAATTTCTTATTCATCATCATTATATTCAACTATTTTTTTCTTTCAGTAATAATTTTATAGAAAAATTTTGTCATAAAGCACTAGCCTAGTTAAAAAAAAACAGGTTTGTACAAGCTCTTTTTACCCAAATCAGGGAATGTGCAAAATGTTCTGTTTGTGTTCGGCATATCATAACGTGAAGTTCCCTACCCTGCCAGGCATTGTATTAAAAAAAAATTCTGTCATCTAGAACTATTTAAAGTGTTTAGTGCTAAGTGTACTTAATTAATAATTTTGTTCAAATGCCTATTCTTCAAAATGTCCTTTTATTTTTAGTGGGAATGCAGAATATAATTAACTGATCTAAAGTTAGTTCCTTATTTAAATAGGTACATAAATTAGTATTTTATGTATGAATACACAGAGAGGTGAAGGGGAAAATTGAGCCTTTCATGATCAATTTATAGAGTCAGTTAGCTAAAGAAGATAAAAGGCTTGGTCTGGAAAGCCAAGATGATGAGGTGGTGTTCAGTGCATGCCTCTCTTATTTTTAAGTCTAATTGATTTTAAAATGGGAACTCTCTGAAATTGGCTAAGTCTTTGTGCAACTCATTATTGATATTAATTTAACAGAGTGATATTAATTTCACAGAGTGTGTCTGAGAGTCTTCCACAGAAGTATGCTGGTCCTTTATCTGGAGCTGCAAATGAAAAAGGAGAAAATATAATAAATGGGCAAGTAGAAGGTAAAACTGCATTTTATAAAACATCATTTGATAGAATGTGCATGTAAACCTAAGTACTGATACATGCTAATATCCATAAGAAAATGTACAGTAAGAAGGAAGAAGCAAAATTGGAAATAAGTTGTAGATGATAGAGAAGGTGTCAGTAGCAGATTAAAATAAGAAAGCCACTAAGGAGCAAAATTACTCATTTCAAAACACATTATAATTAAAGAAAAGCTAGTAATTAAAGAAGATAAAGGAGTGAAAGAGGGAATGAAGAATAGGAGAGATATGTATTGAAAAGTGAGGAGATTATGTCAAAAAATGATGTATTTGTCTTTTCTAAATTGATTAAAATAAATTCTACAGCTAAAAAAAGAAGAAGAATGGGAGAGATAGAGAGTACAGGGAGTAAATGAAGTAAAAAGAAGCTAGGGGTATTTAGTGAAAGGTGGTAAGATTAAAATGATTCTTTAGAAAAAGGAGGAAGAGAATATTTGAAATGTGGACAGAATGTAAAGTGAGATTCCAATTCTAAAACTTGTCAGAGAAGTAGAGAAATAACTACCCACACTGTCTTTCTCACTATGGGAAGACATTAAGAACTGAGGCTTGATCATGCAGAACTGTTTTTATCTACCTTGGAATAAGTGTAGGAGGATGTGGTCAGCTGTAAGTGTATATTACAGTGTTGCTGCTTCATAGACCAATAGAAGAACATTGAAAGAAAAAGACCAAAGCTTCACAAATAGTAATGAATCACCTGGGACCTTGTTAAATGTTCAGATTTTGATTCAGTAAGACTGGGATTCTTTGTTATTTCTAACAAGCTCTCAGATGGTGCCGATCCTGCTAGTCCTCAGACCACACTGAGTTTGCAAGGATGTAGGCATCCCTTTAAGATTTCTGGAAGAAGAGTCATAGGAAAGGCATTTTATTTCTGAGCATGTTTATAGGTGGTGGGGAAAGAGCAAATGAGATGCAAGGTGACTGCTGCTAGACAAAGATGAAAGAAGAAGCGGTAGGGATAATTCATACAAAGAATGCAGAGACATGACCTGTGAAGAGCAAGAATGGTGACTGAGGGAGGAAGGAAAGAAAGAAATCAGCTGAAACTTGAGATGAGATGGTTGCTGCTCCAGAGAGTGCTGTGAGCCAGGTGGAGTGCTACAATTGGATCACACCTCAGCCACTCATTTCAACACATGTGGTGCATTGATGTGAGTTATTCAAATGAGATTCATTTGAATATTGAAGCTCTTCTTATTGGTTTGTTCAGACAGCTTTTTCATAAAAATCTTTTCAGAAACCAGCATGAAATACCAAACCAAACCAAAATAATTTTGGAAGCAAAAGAAATTATAGAGTTCATTCCTAAATACTAAAATTGTTATTTTCCATAAATATTGTACTGTTTTTTGAAAATGAAAGGTTATTCATACTGAATAATAGTGTAAATATTTTTTTTCCCTTTTTGATAACCTAATTTCAATATTGAAAGTTTATTATACATTATTTCTTAGATGTGTTTTATATACCTTCTTGCATGAGTGGATCAAGAAACTTTAAGATGGCTAAACTAGAGGATACAAGAAATGTAGGCATACCAGTAGCCCACATGGGTATGGAAAAAAAAAAAAGAATATTTCTATTAACTACTATTCTACAAGTGTATATCTGAACCGATCAATTCAGAACATTTTTTTACTTGAATAAGAAATGAATTATGCATTTAGCTAAACTGCCATCAGGACTGTATTCTTCCTAAATTACAGGACAAATTGAAGAACATGATAAATACTTGTAGGATAATGGTATAAATGATTATGATTTATTTCATTAAAGATATGTTCTTGCATTGTACCATCAGCTTTGGCATTTATCCTCTCAGGGTCATGATTTGCTCTTCTGATTAAAGATCACTTTTCTTCCCATCAATCAGCATGTTCACATTGGTATATGTATATTTTTTATTTCAGTTATAGTTATTGGAAACATAACCTCACTTTTGAAATCTTTACTGCATGTTTTATCAAGCCTATATTCCTATTGTTTCTTCAGTATTTTAAAATGGATTCACATTTCTTTCATGCTGCTGTTATAACAACAATAAAAAACAGTAACATAAAACCATATGAATTAACATTTCTGAAGCCAAGCATGAGGATTCAGCTTGATACTAATTGTGCATGAATGTGTGTGGTTGGCTTGTTATGTTTATATGCAATTGATTGTATGTCCCTTTGTTTTGCAGATTCTTCTGAGAAATATTCTCAGTTGAAGGTAATAACTGTTGCATAATTTTTATCTTTAGTTATTAACTACAGATTATATGAAATGTACCTTATTTATTAATCGTCCTGTTTCAAAGCCCATTCAGTCTACCACTGAAATGAAAGATCCTTCTCCTGAGAGAACAGTAGGAATCAAGAATATACAAACATGTAAATCAGGTAAAGTTTGCATGATAAATTAACTCTGGAAATAGTACGTTACACTATTGGAAATGTTCAGTCTTCATGTTTCTAATGTATTTCGTTTTTTGAAATTTTAGTTGAAGCCTTTGACAAATAGTGCAAATGCTGTTTTTGTTCACCATGTTTGAAACAAAGATAATTATAAAAATTTAAAAACGACAAGTTTTAACACAGATATTTCTTTTTGTGTGCTTTGTATCCCTAAATCAACCTTTGTTAATTCCTATGATTCTTAGGATTCACATAGGTTAATAATGGAATTCTTTTAGATTTTTTCTTGTATTTACAAATGCTTATTAGAATTCTGATCCTTTCCTAGCACAAACCTTACTTGCTCATGTGTCAGTTGTATTTAAACTTGAATCATTTCTTCTGCATATGTTTATACTGATGATCTCTAGCCAACCAGATATTCTCATTAGCAGACTCTGTGTATAGGGTGTGTGTGTGTGTGTGTGTGAGGTGTGTATATGTTTAGTGTCTGTTACCTTTATTGAAAATGGGGAAAGACATGAATCATTCCTTAATAAATATTTAATAAGTACAATTTTGAAAACAGTGATTCTAAAACTTTTCAGCTTTAGGATCCCTTTACACTATTAAATATTACTGAGGATTATAGAGAGCTTTTGTTTAAGTAAGTTGTATATGCTGATATTTAGCATATTAGAAATTAAAACTGAAAAATCAGACATACAAGCATGCATGATCACACATTCCACTAGTTATTAGAGTATGATGTTATTACATTTCATGTCATCTCTGGAAAACTCCAAGGTACACTTAGAAGAGAATTAGAGTTAAAATGACAAATAATATCGTAGTATTGTTATGAAAACATTTTCACTTCTTGTTCCCTAAATAGATCTTGGAACTTAGAGATCCTCAGATCATACTTTAGAACCACTTTTTTTGTGCTCTGTGTGGCACATACAGTTTTTGCTTGACTACTAACTAATGGTTTGGTAGTTTGAATCCACCCCAGGGGCATAGAGGCAAGGCCTAGTGGTCTACTTTGCAAAGATTACCTTGGAGCACAGTTTTACTCTGACACATGTGGGCTCTCCATGAGTTGGAATCAACTGGAAGGCAACAAACAGGCTTTGTTTTTAAAACCATATATAAGGTTCATGGATATAAAGTGATAAAGGTGCCCTTGAAAATGGCATTTAAAATTTCCCCCCCTTTTTTTTTTTCACTTGTCTTACAAGTTTGAATATGATAATATATTTTTCTTTTCCAAAAAGCAAACAGTATGTTTGTTCATTTCCTGTGTCATGGCAACTCAGTAGTAGTCTTTGGAGCTCGTGTCTACCTGGACTTACCCCATCTTTACATAGAGACATTTAGGTCACTTAAAGCTCTCCATTCTCACATAAAGCTATGGTGCTTATCCAAGTCTCCAGTATGATACTCTGAAGCTATTTGTATATTGAAGAAAGATCATTTCGTTTTAATGAAAGTAGGTTTTTCACATTCCTTAAAAAATTTTTTTAACTCATGTGTGTAGAACATGTACAATATGCTCTACCACAGTTATAGTTGTGTTTGCAGGAAAGGCATACAAATATCCTCTTTCAAACTCTAAGGTTATTTTTGCATATATAAATATATACCACGCTTCCTCCCTTACCCATTCAGTCTATGTCTCCATCCACGTATGTGTGCACAGAACACTGTTGTTCCAAGGTTGTGTATACATCACTGTTTACCTCTAGCTCCTTTAACTTATGCATATCTCCCTGTGTCTTCACCTATCATCATTATTCTTCTTAGGCATAAATTTTTTTTTTTTTTTTACAATTTAATTAAAATATATTCAGTAATACTACAAGGAAGAAGGTAGTCAAAAGTTGCGTCTCAGAGAATCCACTCAGTACATTAAATAATAAAAAATAATTAGCATAATGCTAGTTTATGTGGATTTTACAACTGTCTGAAAAATAGCTATTCGCTTGACACAAGGCAGTTAGACATTATTTTCATTTATAGTTTTAATCAGCTAAGCAAATCCTTTCCTGTTTGCCTTACACAGTACAAAACAACTTCACTTCAGCATATGACAATTACTATAAACTTCTAATTTTGTTGTTGTTGTTAGGTACCATCGAGTCAGTACCAACTCACACAGTGACCCTATGCACAACAGAACAAAACACTGCCTGGTCCTAAGCCAAACTCACAATTGTTGCTACACTTGAGCTCACAGCTGCATCCACTGTGCCAGTCCATCTCATTGGGGGTCTTCCTCTGTTTAACTGACCTCCACTTTACCAAGCACAATGTCCTTCTCCAGGATTGGTCCCTTCTGATACTATGTCCAAAGTATGAGAGACAAAATCTGGCCATCCTGGCTTCTAAGGAACATTCAGACTGTACTTCTTTTAAACACAGACTTGTTCATTCTTTTGGCAGTCAATGGTACTTTTTTTTTTTTAATTTTTTAAACGTTTTTATTGTGAATTGAGTGAAATTTTACAGGGCAGATATCAGTATTACGTTCAACAAATCATGTATTTTGCTTCATTGCAATGATTATAATCCCCTCCATGTACCATCAGTTAA